ATGGTGGCAATAGGCACCGCCAGGGCCGATAGGGTTACCATCCATGGTGATGGTATGGGGCAGAGATGCTGAGAGATGGTTAGGGGGCAACCTCTCAAGGCCAATGGTGACGGTGGTGGGGGGGGGGGATCGTATAGAGTCCCCCTTCCTAAGACGGAAATATTCCACTTAATCTACATCAGTGGATGGGAAAAGGCTACCATTGTTTGGATTCCGCATCTGGGTAAACACTCTAGGTAACAAGGTACAACACAGGTATAAATAACAGCCCGGTATTCTACCACTTTGGAAGCGCCGCTGTCAACGATGGCTTGACGGGTTGAATATTTGTTAGTTTATAGGTGTTCTCTATAGCACCGCTTGTCGTTTCTGCAGCTCAAGAACTCGTCAAAGAAAGTGGGCTAACGAGATCTCAGAGTGTTTCTTTCTCATCACATAGACTCCGCCCACTCACGAGTCACGCCCCTCTTCAATGTGGTTGTGAAAAAAGGCAGAAAAAGGCAAAAAGCACAGGCTTTGATATTTATCTTTCGAATTGAATAAGAGTGACCAGTGAAGGGTCTAGGATGGGCACTCATTTATTTACTTGCTTTGACACACGCCTGAAATTTGACCAAAGCTCTGTGCTTCTTTACCAGACTAAGAGTACAAAATTCCATGTCGTCCTGGAATTGCTTAAGTGTGTTAAACAATCGCTTCTATAAAACCGTCGGTTGAATTTTGTTCGTCATTTTTCTCTGACAAATCATTACGGCCCCATTTTGGCCTTTGTACATATGTGGTATGCATATTATTTGATGACTAACCCATAGCATGAGCCATGAAGTTTTTTCCAATTTTATCATTTGTTTCACGCTATCGCTCCGCTCCATTTCATTGTCCAGGGTAATAAACTTCTGTACTCAGCCATCGTTCGTGAACCTTCATGCCAAGCTTCATTCAAAGCCAACCACTATTTCCGAAAATGGCCAACGACTAATTTCCAAAGGAGTTGGGCGATGCACGGGTATCCAGGAATCTTTTGAACAAAGGATGCGAGCTCGGGGGCGCCACGCATTGCACTCGCATTCAGATGGGAGTGGGGCAGTGAGGGAAGTGGACATCTTGGAGGGCGATGGTACTACACATGGCGTGGCAGTGGGGTTTTCCAATAAACGAGCTCAGCTTTTAGAGTCCTCACAAACAGAGTTTCGGAGCAAATTTCTACGAACAGGGCAGGGCTCAAGGGGCTTTTTTCGGGTCGACTTGGGATGACAACCGATCGAGATCAATCACCGGACAATTTAGGTGATAATTGGGTCCACTGGCCCTTGCACTGCCTAGGAAGCAAAGAAAAAAGAAAAAGTTTATTTGCAAGGCAGCTTTACTAGGAACTATAGAACTTTATTGCCACTGCTCGGAAACCGAGCTCGATTTCTTCGAAGTATTGTCCCGTTCGTAGATTTGACGAGAAAAGTACCCCTGCACTAATTGGCCCAGCTATAATAGATCATCAGAACGGTTATACCGTCGGCGCGTTAGCGCGAAACCCTTTTTTCAACAAAGAGTCTTGCTAACGGACATATTTCGCCTAAACTGGCCCATTTCTTGAGGAGCGGGTATAAAGGGGTAAATATGCGCATAAAAAACGACCAAAAACGGTTTAGTATGTTATGTTTGATACGAAATTGCTAGCCCTGAACGTAAAACTTCAGAACCTGATGGCCGGCTCGCAACCTTTATGTACATCCAGTGTGCACTTTACCAGGTGTATGTCAATAAGTTTGTAGTGGCGATGAGATGTATCCGCTCTTCAGTGCGTTACCTTCCGCATACTTGACAAGTACACGTCTCACTCCTCTGCCTTAGCAAGTAATACTATATCGATCTGTCAGTGAAGGCATAATGTATTTTTATACGGCGTGACATGTTATGCATAATGCTATTTTTATCGTAATCGGGGATGGGGAAGGGGGAGTGGTGTTTGGAGGACAGGGTTTTCCCATACTCTTGCATATAGGATTTTGCTTAGGGACTGGACGACAAGCCCTCTTGTCGCTATGTCCAATGAATAGTGGAGAAGAGTACTTAGATAATTGACTCTTGCTTTTTGATACTTCAAAATTGCTCCAGCATTCACTGCTCGACACATCGAGTTGCTTTCTTTGGATAGGAAGGTCCTGCGGAACGCGTTTGGGGGCCTCTCTAAATTGATTTGATTCTGATTTTTTTTCCTGCGTATTATTTTCATTTTAGCTCTTGGTTGGGGCAGTTAGCAGTGGGGTACGGAGGTGGACTAACAGGTCGTGTGTGGTAGGCTGGCGAGTATTCATTAGGATGGGAGTGGACAGTGGGCATTAGCTTCCGTAGACAAGCAAGCCCTTCCAGCCAGCTGGGCTGAGAAACTGAGAAAAGGACTGATTTGGAGAGGGACGAAGTGACCTATACCTGCGGCTCGGCTATAAAAGGAAGAGAGCAGGCGAAAGAAAAAAGCAGGTAGATAGCCTATAGTTTAATCGAAAGGACTCCCTTGTCAATGAAGTAAAGAACTCTTGAGAGGGAATGTTTCTGCGGCCCTGCTGGGTGTCGGCCAATTAGACTCAACATTTAAGGACAGCGCTTGGTAGGCTCCAGCGAGATAAAGAGGAACCGCGCGCGGGGCACGCTGGATCTGCCCCAGTCGCAATGGAAAATTGCGAACAGCACATGCGACGAGCATGGGAAATGTTACTTGATGGGTAAAGGAAGGAAAACCGGAGGGACCCACATGTATGGAGAGCCAACCTGGGACGGTCCAGGGCAAGCACAGGGTTATATGGAGATGTGGCAGAGGCTAGGTAAAGGTCCATGGTGAGGGTCAGGGCCATGGGGATAGAATTATTAGTAGAATAGGAGCAGGGGGTGGGTGGTGGGATGCTTAACAGCGGAATCCTGGGGCAAGCTGAGTTGGGGGGTGTGACAAAGCGGCTCGGTGAAAAGAAGGATGTGTCGATGATTACTCAGTGTTCACTGTTCCTACATCGATCTACCTCTTTGGCTCTTGAGCTGGGCCATCGCCTAACGATATACACCTTCTTCTATCCTTCCTATAGTACTTCTAGAAACTACGCATGTTAAGATTGCCTTCGCGTATCCAGTTCAGAGCATTTGTGCGCACTTATCACTGCTCTTGTATATCTGTCTCGAATAATCGATAGTTCCATATGTTGCTGCTTTCTCAATATGTGCTAACTTCGAGATCATAATTTTACACATTACACTTGCACAGGTATCAATGCTTCCTGCGCCCCTACTCGTCTCTGCAATCAGCATCGCACTTACGGTATGAGATTCAAGTTCCACAATTTCTTATCAGATACTTGTGTATATACTGACACACTACCGAAACCTTGGCTATCGGGTGACTAGATGCCCTCATTACGAGAATTATATTTATTTTTAACGGTGGTGGGGGGTTGGCGTCACCTGGGGATCATTAGCTGTCTTGTTTGTCATCCGAATGATTGCAGCGAGCTTCTGTATCTAAGAACGATTTGGGCTGTTGACGTAAAGTGGGTTAGGCCAGATCATGGGTTCCAGTTAGGACGTGAAGTCGCTGAGAATTTGGGGAGAAGAATCCTTGCGGCGGACAGGGGCGATTTAGCATCGGTTATAAGGCATGATAGAGTCTTTACTGACTATTATGAATGATCACAATGGACATTAACTATGCCTGAGAGCGTAAATAGAGCTTGAGCTGAGTGCCCGTCCAGAAATGTTCGTCATTTCTCAAAAAAAAAAAACAGATTAATCTGAATGAGATTGCAGAACCAAAACGATAGGTTGAAATAGGACGTTATACAGACGTGGTGTGGACAATTCGTGTTTATTCTATATTTATTTTTATTTTTCAACAGTGTTTATTTTATTTTATTAATATACTGTTTATTTTGATTACAGGTGTCTGTTTTATATTTACTCACATGTTCAATTTTTATTTATCAGCAGTGTTTGCTTTGTTTGTTTATCAGCATTGTTCACAGTTTTTCACCTAGTTTCACATTTCAGATCTTTGGCATTGCCTCGTTGTGCTTGACATGTTCTATATTTGACTTGTATTTTTTTTTTTTGGTGTTTTTTGAATGGGGGAGATGACTACACTGACTGACCCTGGGATACGGCGTGAAGTCTTGGGCCGGTGGTCGAAGTGATAAGTCTCCCTATGTCATGAATAGCAGGGTATAAATGTTACTATAGTTAGGGTATGTCAACCATCTGCAGCTTAACCGTTCCAGTGAAACAGGCCCTCCTTCACTACCCTCACCGTCTTCAGAATATGACGTCATCTGTCACCGTCGTCGAGCTCAGGGAGGCCTACAGTAACTGCTTCAGCCTGAAGCTCTTACATAATTTCTTGGATCGATTCAACGTGGGATAGTTTCCTAGGGACATTAGCTCTAACTATGCAAACCCCCTCGGAACCCGCCCTTCGGAACCCGTCGTAACGGTACACGATCAGTCGAGAACCCCATTGAGCTCGACCAGAGCACCATGTTTCCGGGGCAAATTTTTCTGATGCCGTCCACGTAGATGGCCACTATGAAGATTTTCTTATGAAATGAAATGCGCTCTTCAATTCTAAGTTGGGAGCACACGCTTTGAGCTGAGCAAAGTGTGATTAAATCCATTTGAGTCTGGAGACAAAATGTCTTTTTTATTGCCCCCCCCCCTGTATATTTGTCAGTGCATTTTTTCCTCCCAGACAAGTCTGGTACCAATTAACCGACCCCGGAGGGATGGAAGGCTTGGTTGGCCCGGGCGACGACCGGATTTGATCCCGGACCGCTCGCGTGGTGAGCAGCGCCACTTCCTACTACGCAACTTCCACTCAATAAAATTATGTAATTCTAGGAAATAGGAGGTTTTCTTCTGACGATGATGGATATTAATAGATCTTGAGGAATTCCTTATGAACTACCTTATTTTCAGAAAATACTGATTCCAACAGAGGCTTCGTGGTGGTTTTATGGCACGTCGATCTTATGTGCTATACTTTCGACATTTACGTTAGTTTCCAGCACGGGTTCTGGAGCGCTTCAACGCTTTGCCGAGAACTACCCGCAAATATTCTGCCTATTGGTGAGTAATACTAAGCAAATTCGAAGGTGTCCTTCATTGTTTACATATGTAGTTGCTTCGCAACTTACGACTCGAAATTCTCGGAAGATCCACAGGCGGGTCTTGCTACGATCTTCGAAACGTAGTCGTAAAAGCTTGCTTTCAGCTGTGAAGGAGCTGAAAGAAGCTCCTAAATGACACTTTTTGATCGTTTAAAGGTACGAGTCAGGCATCAGTGGACCAAACCAAATCCCTTTTGTCGTCTTTGTGCATGGCTACGCACCCACAGAGACGTTACCATGCTCAGAATCCCAAACGGCGCCGTAATAAGGCTCCAGCAAGTATTAAGCGCTTTCGCCGCCTGGCGGCGCTCCGACCGCCCACCTCCGGAAGTGGTGCGTGGCTGGCATAACGTGTGAAATCAGCTAGGTTGATTGCCGTATCAACCGATAGAACGACTGACATCTCCAGAAAACTTGTTTGTACGTGCCTCTTTCCCCAAGCCAGCCTCCTTCACTGCTAGTGGGAAAGAGGGTTTTGTTAACGGCCTTGTCGACGGTTTTTCTCAGTTTTTCTCCACTGTCGTTCCACTTCGCATCTCTATACTCAGTTTCAATCGCCATAATACCCCCTTATTGAGCCCGACTTTTGCCTTTAAGCGAAGTATAAGCGTAACTCAAGAGGTTGTGCTTGGATTCTCGGTGGCACACCCATCGCTTGTCTGCGCACCGAGAAAGTTTCTGCAGTAGTACGAAAAATTTGAGAACTAGACGAAAGTTGCCAACTCAAGAGGGAGGGAGGGGAGTTCACCTAGATTCTGTGGTGGAAGTTGGGAGGTGCAAGATCCGTCTCAGCTCTCAGCACATCGCCGACTGGTCTTCGCCCTTATCTTCCAAACCACCGCAGTTTCTACAGAGATCACAAAAAATTAGACAGCTGCTGAAAATGGATGTGGAAAAGTCCATTTTTAGGAAGCACAGGGGGTCACAGGGCTTCTTGGGAACTTCTCATATAAGGAACGAGCCGAGCCTATTTTTCTCTCCAACACGAGGTAGTTGGTCCGATGAATTAAGCGCTGAGTTTGGTGTGCAAAGTTTGATCGTAATAACTTCGTATAGCATACATTATACGAAGTTATACGAACATTGACTGGCCTCTTCTTTGAGAGCCTGAGCCGAACCAAGAAAGACTTGACCTAACTGGAAAAGCACATAACCTTCGAACTGTTTTAGCACGGAGGACTGCTATGCGCATCGAGCGTTCTGTGCGCTTTTTGCACATTCTTGGCGATGCAGATGGCAGAAAGGCGTCGGGCAAGTACGCTTTTGAAGCTCATCCGAAACAATTCAAGAAGCGTCTCACTGGGTACTTCATTCGCCTGAGAGCTTCAGCGGTTCGTTTTCTTTTTCCTGAATTTGCAGGCCAACCTAATCAAAGGAGAATTATTTGCTTATTTGTTGTTTATTTGTTTACTCATTCAAGAAATATACACAGGTTAGCTAATCACTGCGGTAAAATCTTAACAGTTTTCAAAAGTAAAATACCCAATCTCATGCAGTGGAGTGCTAAAAACTTGCAGAAGCTCCAACTCTCCCAGCAAATTACCCTAGCTCAACTCCTTCTTGAAGGGTTGATTTCGATAGTTTTGCTATTTACAATTCCAAAAAATAAGCACTAGTTTATAAATATCAAAACCTTCAATGACGTCATCAAGACCGCGCCGCCCTTCATAGCAATGTTTTCTTTATTATAGGTACTGTTCCACGATTGAGTCGTTGCTACAGCTGGTTGTGCTCTGTGTCCTCTACTTGGGCATTCAATGCCGATATCGGACGTTTGCACAGCTTCCACAGAAGCCGGACATCGTGATGCGTGGAGGAAATATGTTCGCCTGAATGCCTACCGTACACCCACGACTCTTATTTTTGAAGCTTCTCAGAACTTGGCTTTACTTCTTCTCAGAAGAACTCAATTCTTCTTGTTGTATATTTGCTTTTTTAACTTGATTATGTGTTCTGTGCTTCTCATGTGAGACGGAGTAAATTGTATAAATGTGATAATGACCTTAAGTTAGTGTCAGAAACCACCATTCTCTCCGGAACTGGCAGTTTCTCAACCCAATCGAACACTCTTTTCCATAGCAATCTTCTCCAGATGCGTATCTACGAACTAGATTGGTTCGAAATTGCTGGGAAAATCAGTTAGGGAAAAGCTAAAGTGTCTTAATACAATACTCCTCGACAGCAGCTGCCCGTAGACCGCAGCTCAACTGAATCATCTGCGTACATTAAAGAACACTTTTTTGGGCAAACAGGAGTCTTAACAAGTCTTAGTTAGTCCCTATCCTTCTCAAGGGCGCTAAACGGCACCGATTACAAGAATATTAGAGCAGCCCTTGGCCATTTGAAGAATTTTGGGGAGCCTGGCCCTAGATTTCCTTATTATTGTTTATTGTTCAGTAGGTCAAACAGGTATACTGTCAAACAATTCAAGTAATGTGTAAAAAAGCCCAAATTCAAAAACGATTGAACTCAGCAAAAAGGTAAAAATAGCTTGTAAAACTTCTTATAGAATTTTTTTCAGGTGCTATCGCAGGATACGGAGGCATCCTCAAGAAATTATTCCAGAAGGGGCACAAACTTCGGGAAAAATGAACATCGCTCCTTCGGATTCTCTTATCTTCGGCCTAAGGCTTAGTTCCTTTTGAACAAAATGATGATGTTTCACGCGGTCTTGAAAACAACTGCTGCAATGCCCCCATATTTTGCAATAGCGCCTTTTCGCCCTGGTCACGCCTTTGAAAGAACTATTTGTAGCAACACTAACGCTCAGGAATTTTTGCTGTTTTTTTTGCCATACGCAGATATGTTTATTGTTTCTTTGTAGGCGTCGATGGTGTTTTTCACAATGAAATTTCAAAGCAACGATCGTTTTTTGATACGCCTTAGCGCGATTGTTCCAGGTGGGCGTGGCCTGAATTCTTTTCTATGGCAGCGTGTTTGAACAAGGAAGCGCCCTGACAGCAAAAGGACTGGCTAACTTTCATGCAATGAACATTTTTAAAACTACTACCTTCCGGTCTTAGAATCATTGAAGAAATAATAACGCTTCTTCTTTAAACATTATCATCTTCTTGGACTTCTTCTCATATGGGTGGGATTTCCTGATTGGGGGCTACAACCGAGTGTTCAAGGTAGTGACAGCCGATGGATGAAGGGCGGTGTTGCTTTCATGACGTCCTTGAACTTCATTGGTGAAGGGGCGGTACTATCCACACCACCGGCGCGCTAAGGCGTCTAGTCCACCAATGATATTTAACCACGCCATCACACCGCCTTCCTGTCGAGAACAGCGCCTTTAAGGCCCACGGAGTGGTCCTCGTTTCTGCGAGGTATGCCTTTTGGGTAACGACTAAGCCCCCCACAGTCCACCCCTCTTCTCAAAATCGGCTTTCACTACTTCACTCGGATTTAAAGTATCCCTGATCTTATTTAATTGAATACATTGACAGAAAGACGTGAGCATTTATTTAATCATTTCCAAATATACAGAAAATCACTGTATGGCACGGTGTGATTGACATAATTTAGTTCTTTGACTTGTTACTTCCGATGAAGTACGGTGTGCGAAGGAATGGCGCGTAAGAAGGCATGTAAGCGACCGGTGCAGCTGCGAACACTGGTGCCGGTGCGGCCATGACTGGAGCTGGAGCCATTGCGGGAGCAGCGAATACCGCCGGAGCTGGAGCTGGTGCATAGGCTGGAGCAGCGAGCATCGGTCTCGCCACTGGAGCTGCCATGACTGGAGGAGGCGCGTACATTGGCCTGGCCACTGGAGCGGCCATCATTGGTGCAGCAGCGTAGACTGGAGCACGAGGAGCGGCCATCACGGGAGCCGGAGGAGGGGGTGGAGCAGCGAAGACGGGAGCCGGAGGAGCCATTGCTGCAGCGTATAAGCAGTGATCCAGCAACTGGGGCGGCAACGTTGTCGATCTGGGTCAGCACGGGTTTTGCGGCGAGCATGTATTCGGCCGTAGAACGTCCCGTTTACGAGCGACCTTGGGCTGAGAGACGGCCAGAACAGAGTAGGAGAACTCTGAAAGATAAAGAGTTAAGATCCTCAAGCGATTAGTAACTCTGACTCTCAGTTTTATAGGTGACATTTTAGTGGGGTTTGTTTTAGAAAGTTTTTGTGTCTACTCCAACACAGCTGAATTGTTTACCACATGGAACGAAACTTCTTGTGTTCAGGCAACTTGGTGATTCGGCCCCAGAATGAAGTCCATAGATCATAATTTTAGGAGTTTAGTTTAGTTTGGAGATTTCTTAGTAATAGTCGATTACTGGCCTATAATACAGGTGTTCCCGCACTAATAACTCTTCTTTGTAGACCCGTAGAGACGAATCAGGCTTGTGAGACTCAGTCCATTTCTGACATGAGACAGTCGCATTAGAGCTCTTGCGGTGTCAAACACGGTACTAAAGCCGGACAGAAAAACTTGTGGAAACTAATTATGAACTTGTATAGTTGAACAAATGGGTCAGGAGAAGAAAGTTAAGAATGAATTCGGGGAAGGGACTCCTGGTTCGGCACGTCGTACTCAAAAGACGGTTGGGAATGATCAAGTAGGTGTTTTCTGAGAGATCCGCATTCATTAGGATAAAGCACATATTTTGTTGATTCTGAATTGCCTACCCCTCCCCTCCTTACCTCATTCTCGTTCGATATTAAGGATGCGCGGTAGTTACGCAAAGTTCAAGTTGGGTGGAGATTCCGAGGGGTCCGTGCGCGAGTCGAAACTCGAGTACATGCTCAACCTGCTTCCGAAGAATTATTCGATCTTCAGAAACCCAAACAATTAATGCTGAGACGGTCGATAGATACCTTTAAATGTGGAAATTACTAGAAAAAAAGGGTAATACATCAGTAAATATTGTGATAAATATGTAATTTATTGTAACAAGATTTGTAATGAAAATGCAGAGAAGCACTAACCCGATGAGTTGCGAGGACATTATGAAGATCGTGGATCGGTAGATGATGTTCGTTGGCTCGACGTCGGCTCTTTTAAACGATCGCTGTGGCACGGCCGAGTCGAGCGACCGGTAGGGGCGTATGCTCTCTTCCGCAATTCCGCCGAACCAGCAACGTCAATGAACGCAACAATGGCCTGGTGTAAGTAGACGCGCGGAATTCCGCTAACGAATAAACATTTCCGGATGTTCACGAAATGGGAAGCATCCGTGACTCACCTTTTTGGGCCTTTGTTACCGATAGTTAGGCGAGAAAGTCAAATAATTGATTCGTTTTGAGAATTTTTCAGTGTTTTTTTCGTTACTTAAGTGAGTACTATTTTTAAGATCAGATTGTTTCGGGCGGAAACTGGTTCTGTCTAGCCAGAAATGCTCAACCCAGATTTTAGTATTCAAAGAGCAGGGAATGAATCTGATACAACAAGTCGATGGATGAAAGTCAATTCCTGCAAGCTTGACCTTACTCTGAGACCTAGGACCTGCGCTGGACCTATTGCGGTCCTGAAGAAACTTATGTCAGGTAAATACGTCTAGGAAAGTGCACCGGGCAATAATGGTCGCGATGTTGTTATATAAAGGCGCCGTCATTCGACATTCTGCCCGAAAAGGCTAAAGCCACATGGGGGTTGTGTGAATAAGAAACCGACGCAATAAGCTGGCCGCCGACTGGTAACGTCACCTGATTCCTTTACAGTTTTTTTTTTTTTTTTTTTTTTTTTTTTTTTCCGATGAGTGTGTGGCCGTGGTCGAGCCTGAAAGGTAGCCCAGCTCAGCGCTATGTGTGCTAGCTGAAAGATTATGCTTACATTAGAAGAATCTCGAAAATGTTACGAATAATTTCGAAGGTGGTGACAGCACAATATTTCCTACAAACATACCTAGTGAATAAAGAGAGGATTGAGCATCAACTTGCCCATCGTTTCATTTCGCGATCCATTTTTTTTGGGACGCGCCATGCTTGCATTCGGAATCGTAATGGCTTAGAGTGCTGTTATATCTCTAACACAGTGAATTGAAACTGACCACTCCAGTATCCTAGATTTCTGTGTTGTCCTAAGAGTAATCTTTTCCGCTTCAATAGCTCAGACGGCCGAATTGGCATTAAGATTCTTCTGAAATTGAATTTCAATGAGCTCCCGGAAGCACCCTTTGAGTCAGTCACTTGGGTGAGGGCAAAGTACTGACTCAAAGGGATGCAGGGGTCGATCGACTTGGTAGAGATCTCGCAACCCAATATCGGAAAGCGTCAATGAAAATATTGTTAGCGCTGTACACAGATAACAACTCTCCAGTAAAGGGTGTTGAGCTAATGTCTACTCTACTCCTCCTGAAGGCCGGTGGCGAACAAAAAGTGCACGCTAGAAAGAAAGCGATGCTATTAAATTATTATTAAATTCGGTAGCATCAGCATCAGGCACGAAACAGACGGTGGCTGAACGCGGCTGGGTTTGTCCAGGGAGGCCAGCAATCCGACAACTTCGTAGCATACGGATGGTGCCACGTGAACAAGGCAAGCAGTCTTACACGCATAAGATATTCCGGCGACGCGTTGGGCACCGCCCTGGCTGAACAGGGAGAAATATATCTAAAGGAATTACTTTAGAATGCGATAGATGGAGGAATGACGGTTACAACATGAGTTTCTGACGATAGAAATTCCTGTGCAGGTTTGCGCAGCAGTCACATTTTGTAAGACATCCATCGCCAACTATTGGCACCTTTAAATTTCTTCAAATTATCGTCCTATTAGGCACCGTGCTACGCATCACGATTATGAATAAGCTTATTTTCGCCACAGGCGCCATTTGATGCCGGAATGCCGCTACAGTTACTCTTTTGCTGTTCCACTGCCAAATTTGACTGCGCATACTTACTTGAAAGGTTCACTCAGTAGTTTTGGTTTCCGTACTTGTGATTTGTGATTGACTCTATCGATATACCTAGGTCTTTATCCAAAACTTCGGCGGAATTTGCAAGTCTTCCTAGCGAGGAGCACGCGCTCAAGCGGGTCACGATAATACGCAGGAAGTAATTCGAAGTCAGTACTTCTGAAATTCTACTAATTACGGAGCAGAGCCTTTCAATGGTGGTCACCTTCGGCTGTATTTGAGGTCGATATCCCAGGAAAAGCTACGGGTAGCGTCGCGTATAGTTGGCATAAACCCAGCCACTGTTCACAGTAACTATATATAGGGAAGCTCCCCCTTTGAAGGCAAGCCCCAGGATTAGCCGGACTAGTGGGAAGGATACCGCGAAAAAAATGGTTGGATCGCACATATCATCAGGGGGCTAAAAAAGAGTCCACTTCCCTCCACCATTCGAACGGATGCATATGCAAGTTGCAAAACAAAACCCCAATGAAGCTTAACTCTATATTGAAGAGACGTAAACAACATGCTACACGACCTGACGTCAGAAGATTTTCCCACGGAAACATGGTTCACGGTACGAGCTCAACGAGGTCGTCGAGGTACCATAGACCATTACGACGTCCTGAAACACTGGTCAAAAGTCGGTTTTACATAGTCACAGCTAATGTCTCTGGGAAGCTATTCAACAGTTAATCCATTTGAAGAAGTTATGTAGCAGCTCCAGGTCGAAGCGATTACGGTACGCTCATTGCGTCTCGCCCTTGTGAGGGCAGCTGAACGTATATTCTGAATAGGGTGTTGGCAATGGACGGTAAGGCCTGCTTCTGTTCATCTGGGAATCACTAGGTGATATCTGCCGTAAAAAATTATCAACATGGCATCCTGTGGCGCGAAATTTGATGATGTCGCCAGGGACACAAGTGCCTCTTTTTTTTTTTTGGCCCCCGTAGATCATGCGACTTTGTCACTCTCTCGTCACAGTCACGCAATTTGGATAGTTCGGGGCGGCGAGCCCCTCAAGACACCTGCATCCAGAAGTCTAGCTTGATACAAGGTGGCCAAAGTTTTCTTATGGGTCGCCCCCAAGTGTCTCGAATAACTCGCGGGTAATGCCAACGGGCTTCGCTTTCTGTATGCTTTATGGTTTACTGGCATCTGGTGTCATGACAGTCAGGTTTCACGTTTGATTAAATATCTTCCCTTAATAAAGCGGGTATGAACAATGTACTCTTGGTTAGGCTAAATGATGAGTCTGAGGCTAGCAGCGCAAGTGTTGTCTCGAAGATATCAACTGTGACTTTGTAGAGAATCGTAAAGAATGGCTTGCTGTAAGTTGCAGATGATTTTGGTTACTTCCCTGCTGCCCTACGCGCGTGGAGGCCAATTCATATAGAGCTACACATATGCAGCTCTTCCCAATGAGCCTCTAGGAAGCGGAAACAATTACGATTTCGATCATTTTTTTTAACAAATCTCATAAATCAAACCCCCTACCCACCAACACTTCAGTGAGATCTTACAGATGGGAGGCGCTGTGCTTGGCACATAAATTTTCGAATGGGTAACGTCTCTGTCGATATTTCAACTTGATTTCACGCGCTTTTCCTGTTTGCTTTTCATATCACAACCCAACGTGTGTTCATTGCGCAAGAGCTGGTTATCATTGCAAACAATTTCCAGATTTGACAGATTTCGTCAGTGCGAAAAGAGGTCAAACAGGAGAAGCAGAACGGAAATCTTATCATTGCGAAGGAAAACTAGACATGGTAAAAAACGAAAAGAAAGCAACAAAAATATAAAACATTAGGGGTAAGTTCAACTCGGCCTTATGAGTGCCGAGCGCTTGAATTCTTTCCGTTTTTCTTTTAATTTTTCTTTTTATTCATAGAATCTCAATGTGCCTGGTTGTGTCGGATCAGGAAAATCCAAGAGACTAACCTTATGGCTGAAAAATCTTGTTCTATAATAATGAAGTAGCACAACAAACTAGATTGAGCTCGGAACTTCTCATGAATTAGCTGTACAAATTCTTGGAAAGGCCAAGTATACACCCGTTGCGGTGGATGAATTCCAGCGAACGTCGGATGCATGGCGCATTCAGTAAACGGCAAACACTACACGCTATTGATTGACTCAAATGGATCACCGAACACACTTGTTACTCGTTTTTATAGAAAGTGTGAAACGACAATACAGTTGTTACTGGAATAAAGAATTTTACCTTGAGTTTCATTTCGACTCAATTATCAGGTAGCAAGGCAAAAATGAAAAAAAATTAGCATAAAACATAAGACAATAAAGAAAAACAGTATGTGCTTGGCTAGGGTATCCAATAACATCTCTTATAAAACACCAAATGAGTCAGAGCGCTTGTTGGTCGTCCCATAAAACACGAAGAAAGCACTGCAAAATTACGTTATTCAGGCATGGGCAATCGTCTCGAAGTGGGAAAGTCCCACTTGTCTGACTTCCTATTATTTGACTCCCAACTTCTAATGGCACTCCGGGATGCGATTTGGCCTTGTCCAAATCGCTTAGGAGGGCTCACACCCCGGTGCTAGCAGGTTTTATGCCTCCCAGGCGAATCTGGTGCCACTGAACCTACCTTTGAGGGTTGGAAAGCTAGGCTGACCCGGACGAAATGGAGTACAAAAAGCAACATCCATGCAGAGTATAAAATTTTATGAGTAATTCCTTGGTTGGGCGGGAAGTGGCGTAACGCCGCGTGACGTCCATCAGCGCCTTCTTCCGAGAATCAGACTCCGGATTAATCCATAGCTAACTATGCCTTTCATCCCTGTGGGATCAGCTGAGTAGGCCAAACCTGTCTGGGTGGGTAAAAAGCTGTCTGGTGCAAGTTCAGGGCTCATCAATCTGTATTATTCGAAGCGTTCAGGTGCACTACGATCTAAAAAAGAAGAGCGCTTTGTGTGGATTATTCTGATGAAGTAATTACATGCAACCCCCGCTGTATCTCTAGTGATTTTGCCAGTCCCTCATCATCCCATTTCTTTTCTAGGCAATGAGGTAGAAACGAGTAGCAACCAAACCGATTTGGTATTCGGCTGGTCGTATGCGAATGTTTGGGTAGGAATGGGCCTCCAGCGGCGCATCGGGTTACTTCAAACTTGGTTGGTACGGGGTTGGTGACGATAGGAGAGTACTGACGCAAGTGGTGCAGCTGGTCCAGCAGCTCCGCCAGAAGGGCTGGTTTGCTCACCCCAGGACTAAGCCTTGGAGAGGGGACGGACCCGTCCTCTCTTTAAGGCTTAGTTCTGAGGTAAGCACCAAATTGTGGCGGTTCTAAGGACCGAGTTGAAGTGGTCCGTCCACCGTCGGGGACTCCATCCCCTCCCCAACATTCAGCATACGGTCCCAGCCGAAGCGCCAAAAGGGCTGGTTTGCTTACGTCGTAAAGGTGGTGTAAATGTAATATAACAGGGATCCGGAGCCGCAGCATGAGGCAGTACCGATTTCATCGAAAATGGCAGCTCCAAACGCTTTCGTCGTGTCTTCGTCATCTTCACATATCAATAAAAAAATTAGCTATTCACTCCTGAAGCCACAACCGAAATTCCTCAGTCGTCTTATGACCAGAATTTGAACGTAGGAAAGCGCTGGTCCTGCCTGACGTAATTGCTATAGCGCGTAAACAGCGATATGGCTTCAACTGTGAAACGCGGTGCATAACCTAATCCGCATTCCGTGGGCACTCAACTGATGAGCTGATAGTGATTCACTCCATACGGTCAACGCACCCCTGACGGCCAATTTTCAGACTTTGAGACGCAAGTGTCGCGAGCGCCTTTAGGCTGATGCTCATGTGGGAGGGCGCCAGCGTTTGTCCGCACGTTGAAACCTGGGATATTCGGTCTTCTCAGTAAACACTTTTCAGAGGCCAAATCCAACCACACGGCAAATTTCGACTAAATCCAGTTTAGTTGTTCGGCGAGTGGGCAGGGTAATAAAGTCGAATCTTCTACATGCCAAAAAATAGTGGAGATCTCCCGTAATATGTAATCAGACCAAGCTATTGCACTGAACTGAAGTAGGAAGTGTATCAATA